CCTATACTACAGTGTTATGAAGGATCACCACACCTACAGGATCAGGTCTATACTACAGTGTTATGAAGGATCACCACCCCTACAGGATCGGGAGTCTATACTACAGTGTTATGAAGGATCACCACAGGATCCTGGGGTCCTACTACAGTGTTATGAAGGATCACCACACCTACAGGATCCTGGGGTCTATACTACAGTGTTATGGGATCACCACACAGGATCCTGGGAGTCCTATACTACAGTGTTATGAAGGATCACCACACCTGGATCCTGGGAGTCCTCTACAGTGTTATGAAGGATCACCACCTACAGGATCCTGGGAGTCCTATACTACAGTGTTATGAAGGATCATCACCTACAGGATCCTGGGAGTCCTATACTACAGTGTTATGAAGGATCACCACACCTACAGGATCCTGGGGTCCTATACTACAGTGTTATGGATCACCACACCTAGGATCCTGGGAGTCCTATACTACAGTGTTATGAAGGATCATCCCTACAGGATCCTGGGAGTCCTATACTACAGTGTTATGAAGGATCATCACACCTACAGGATCCTGGGAGTCCTATACTACGTGTTATGAAGGATCACCACCCTAGGATCCTGGGAGTCCTATACTACAGTGTTATGAAGGATCACCACACCTACAGGATCCTGGGGTCCTATACTACAGTGTTATGAGGATCACACACCTACAGGATCCTGGGGTCCTATACTACAGTGTTATGAAGGATCATCACTACAGGATCCTGGAGTCTATACTACAGTGTTATGAAGGATCACCACACCTACAGGATCCTGGGAGTCCTATACTACAGTGTTAGAAGGATCACCACACCTACAGGATCCTGGAGTCCTATACTACAGTGTTGGGATCACCACACCTACAGGATCCTGGGAGTCCTATACACAGTGTTATGAAGGATCACCACCTACAGGATCCTGGGAGTCCTATACTACAGTGTTATGAAGGATCACCACCCTACAGGATCCTGGGGTCCTATACTACAGTGTTATGAAGGATCACCACACCTATAGGATCCTGGGAGTCCTACAGTGTTGAGGATCACCACCTACAGGATCCTGGGGTCTATACTACAGTGTTATGAAGGATCACCCCCTACAGGATCCTGGGAGTCCTATACTACAGTGTTATGAAGGATCATCACCCTACAGGATCCTGGGAGTCCTATACAAGTGTTATGAAGGATCCCACACCTACAGGATCCCGGGAGTCCTATACTACAGTGTTAGAGGATCACCACACCTACAGGATCCGGGAGTCCTATACTACAGTGTTATGAAGGATCACCACACCTACAGGATCCTGGGAGTCCTATACTACAGTGTTATGAAGGATCACCACTACAGGATCCTGGGAGTCCTATACTACAGTGTTATGAAGGATCATCACACCTACAGGATCCTGGGAGTCCTATACTACAGTGTTATGAAGGATCACCACTAGGATCTGGGGAGTCCTATACTACAGTGTTATGAAGGATCATCCCCTACAGGATCCTGGGGTCTATACAGTGTTGAAGGATCACCACACCTACAGGATCCAGTCCTATACTACAGTGTTGAAGGATCACCACACCTAGGATCCTGGGAGTCCTATACTACAGTGTTATGAGGATCACCACACCTACAGGATCCTGGGAGTCCTATACTACAGTATGAAGGATCACCACACCTACAGGATCCTGGGGTCCTATACTACAGTGTTATGAAGGATCACCACACCTACAGGATCCTGGGAGTCCTATACTACAGTGTTATGAAGGATCACCACACCTACAGGATCCTGGGAGTCCTATACTACAGTGTTATGAAGGATCACCACACCTACAGGATCCTGGAGTCCTATACTACAGTGTTATGAAGGATCACCACCTACAGGATCCGGGAGTCCTATACTACAGTGTTATGAAGGATCACCACACCTACAGGATCCTGGGGTCCTATACTACAGTGTTATGAGGATCACCACCTACAGGATCCGAGTCCTATACTACAGTGTTATGAAGTCATCACACCTACAGGATCCTGGGAGTCCTATACTACAGTGTTATGAAGGATCACCACCTACAGGATCCTGGGAGTCCTATACTACAGTGTTATGAAGGATCACCACCCTACAGGATCCTGGAGTCCTATACTACGTTATAAGGATCATCACCCTACAGGATCCTGGGGTCCTATACTACAGTGTTATGAAGGATCATCACACCTACAGGATCCGGGAGTCCTATACTACAGTGTTATGAAGGATCCACACCTACAGGATCCGGAGTCCTATACTACAGTGTTATGAAGGATCACCACCCCTACAGGATCCTGGGAGTCCTATACTACAGTGTTATGAAGGATCATCACACCTACAGGATCCTGGGAGTCCTATACTACAGTGTTATGAAGGATCACCACCCCTACAGGATCCTGGGAGTCCTATACTACAGTGTTATGAAGGATCACCACCCCTACAGGATCCTGGGAGTCCTATACTACAGTGTTATGAAGGATCATCACACCTACAGGATCCTGGGAGTCCTATACTACAGTGTTATGAAGGATCACCACCCCTACAGGATCCTGGGAGTCCTATACTACAGTGTTATGAAGGATCACCACCCCTACAGGATCCTGGGAGTCCTATACTACAGTGTTATGAAGGATCATCACACCTACAGGATCCTGGGAGTCCTATACTACAGTGTTATGAAGGATCACCACCCCTACAGGATCCTGGGAGTCCTATACTACAGTGTTATGAAGGATCACTACACCTACAGGATCCTGGGAGTCCTATACTACAGTGTTATGAAGGATCATCACACCTACAGTGATCCTGGGAGTCCTATACTACAGTGTTATGAAGGATCACTAGACCTACAGGATCCTGGGAGTCCTATACTGTGTTAAGTGAAGGATCATCACCCCTATGGATCCTGGGAGTCCTATACTACAGTGTTATGGAAGGATCATCACACCTACAGGATCCTGGGAGTCCTATACTACAGTGTTATGAAGGATCATCACACCTAAGAAAATCCTGGGAGTCTCTATACTACAGTGTTATGAAGGATCACCACACCCCACAGTGATCCTGGGAGTCTTATACTGAGTGTTATGAAGGATCACCACACCCAAGTGGAGATCCTGGGGAGTCCTATCACAGTGCTATGAAGGATCACCACACCTACAGGATCCTGGGGAGTCCTATACTACAGTGTTATGAAGGATCACCACACCTACAGGATCCTGGGAGTCCTATACTACAGTGTTATGAAGGATCACCACACCTACAGGATCCTGGGAGTCCTATACTACAGTGTTATGAAGGATCACCACACCTACAGGATCCTGGGAGTCCTATACTACAGTGTTATGAAGGATCATCACACCTACAGGATCCTGGGAGTCCTATACTACAGTGTTATGAAGGATCACCACACCTACAGGATCCTGGGAGTCCTATACTACAGTGTTATGAAGGATCACCACCCCTATAGGATCCTGGGAGTCCTATACTACAGTGTTATGAAGGATCACCACACCTACAGGATCCTGGGAGTCCTATACTACAGTGTTATGAAGGATCATCACACCTACAGGATCCTGGGAGTCCTATACTACAGTGTTATGAAGGATCACCACACCTACAGGATCCTGGGAGTCCTATACTACAGTGTTATGAAGGATCACCACACCTACAGGATCCTGGGAGTCCTATACTACAGTGTTATGAAGGATCACCACACCTACAGGATCCTGGGAGTCCTATACTACAGTGTTATGAAGGATCACCACACCTACAGGATCCTGGGAGTCCTATACTACAGTGTTATGAAGGATCATCACACCTACAGGATCCTGGGAGTCCTATACTACAGTGTTATGAAGGATCACCACACCTACAGGATCCTGGGAGTCCTATACTACAGTGTTATGAAGGATCACCACACCTACAGGATCCTGGGAGTCCTATACTACAGTGTTATGAAGGATCACCACACCTACAGGATCCTGGGAGTCCTATACTACAGTGTTAACATTAGAACATAAGAATGGAGGAAACTGCGGCGGGCCTATTGGCACATACTGGGCAGTCCCGTTTACACCCAACCCCTATTGCTCATATATCCACCCAACCTATGTTTGAATCTATCCAGCGTATTCTAGTTAATGATGATGTTTGGTAACTTGTTCCACTCGTCCACTACTCTATTTCCAAACCAATTTTACCTATCTTGCTACGAGTTCGCTCCTGGTTGGATACTTTGAGTACCTTTGTTATATCACCTTTGTTTAGCCCTGACTTCCACTTATACATCTCTATCATATCGCCCCTCACTCTACGTCTCTCGAGGGAGTACAAATTAAGATGCTTTAACCTGTCTCTGTACTCAAGGTTCCTAATGCCCGGGATTAGTCTTGTCATTCTCCTCTGAATTCTTTCTAGGGATTCTATATCCATTTTGTAGTACGGTGACCAGAATTGAACTGCGTTATCCAGGTGTGGTCTCACAAGGGCAAGATATAGTTTAGGATGACCTCGCTAGTCTTGTAACTAACACTCCTTTGTATGAACCCAAGTACTTTATTAGCCTTGTTACGAGCAAAAACACATTGTTTACTTGGCTTAAGGTTCCTACTTATCATTACTCCTAAATCTGTCTCGCAGTCGGATTTCTCTATGGCATCGTTGCTCATCTGGTATCTGGTTTCCCTGTTTACATCTCCTATACTGAGTACTTTACATTTGTCCACATTGAATTTCATCTGCCATTTTTCAGACCATTGGAAAAATTTGTTTAGATCTTCCTGTAGTTTTGCGGAGTCCTCGTCAGATTTAATTTAATTTAATGTTATGAAGGATCACCACACCTACAGGATCCTGGGAGTCCTATACTACAGTGTTATGAAGGATCACCACCCCTACAGGATCCTGGGAGTCCTATACTACAGTAAATACAAAATGATCAGTACTTACCAGTCTTTACTTGGTACTTGAGGGCGTCCTTACAGTCGACAAGGATCTGGTCGAGGTTGAGCGGCTTGGCGGGGATTTCCAGTTCAAGCACCTCCTTCAGCTGCTCGGGCTGGTGGAAGTCCAGGATCTTAGAGTTACGGTCGAAGGTTGACCTGATGAAGTCAATGGAGATGTCGGCCACACGAGACAAGAACTCTCTCGTCTCCGGGGCGGCCGTGACGGTGAAGGGGAGGAGATCTGTGTGAGAGAGTGGTGATGGTGAGTACTGATGGTGAGTACTGGTGATGATGGTGAGTACTGGTGATGAGTATTGGTGATGATGGTGAGTACTGATGGTGATGGTGATAATTGGTGGTGATGGTGAGTACTGGTGATGGTGAGCACTGGTGATGATGGTGAGTACTGATGGTGATGGTGACTATTGGTGGTGATGGTGACTATTGGTGGTGATGGTGAGTACTGGTGATGATGGTGAGTACTGATGGTGATGGTGATAATTGGTGGTGATGGTGACTATTGGTGGTGATGGTGAGTACTGGTGATGATGGTGAGTACTGGTGATGATGGTGAGTACTGGTGATGAGCATTGGTGATGATGGTGAGTACTGATGGTGAGTGCTGCTGGTGATGATGGTGAAATTACTGATGGTGAGTACTGGTGATGGTGAGTACTGATGGTGATGGTGATGGTGGTGGTGATGGTGACAATTGGTGGTGATGGTGACTATTGGTGGTGATGGTGAGTACTGATGGTGATGGTGACTATTGGTGGTGATGGTGACTATTGGTGGTGATGGTGAGTACTGATGGTGAGAACTGGCGATGATGGTGAGTACTGATGGTGATGGTGACTATTGGTGGTGATGGTGACTATTGGTGGTGGTGGTGAGTGCTGATGGTGAGTACTGGTGATGATGGTGAGTACTGATGGTGAGTACTGGTGATGATGGTGAGTACTGATGGTGATGGTGATGGTGGTGGTGATGGTGGTACTGGTGATGGTGAGCACTGGTGACGAGTGCTAGTGGTGATGTGAAGTACTGATGGTGATGGTGATGGTGGTGGTGATGGTGAGTACTGGTGGTGAGTGCCTGAGTGGTGATGGCAAGTACTCATGGTGAATTACTGGTGGTGATGGTGAGTACTGATGGTGATGGGTGAGTACTGATGGTGAGTACTGGTGGTGAGTACTGGTGGTGATGGTGAGTGCAGTGGTGATGGTGAGTACTGGTGATGATGGTGACTGGTGGTGATGGTACTGATGAGTGGTGAGTACTGGTGATGATGGTGACTATTGGTGGTGATGGTGAGTACTGATGGTGATGGTGACTATTGGTGATGATGGTGGTGCTGGTGATGATGGTGACTATTGGTGGTGATGGTGGTACTGGTGATGGTGACTATTGGTGGTGATGGTGATTACTGATGGTGATGGTGAGTACTGGTGATGATGGTGACTATTGGTGATGATGGTGAGTACTGGTGATGATGGGTGACTATTGGTGGTGATGGTGACTATTGGTGGTGATGGTGAGTACTGGTGATGATGGTGAGTACTGGTGGTGATGGTGATAATTGGTGGTGATGGTGAGTACTGGTGATGATGGTGACTATTGGTGGTGATGGTGAGTACTGATGGTGATGGTGAGTACTGATGGTGATGGTGGTGAGTACTGATGATGGTGGTGAGTACTGATGGTGATGGTGAGTACTGATGGTGATGGTGAGTACTGGTGGTGATAGTGAGTGCTGATGGTGGTGGGTGAGAGTACTGATGGTGATGGTGAGTACTGATGGTGATAGTCTGCTGATGGTGATGGTGAGTACTGGTGGTGGTGGTGGTGGTACTGATGGTGATGGTGGAGTACTGGTGGTGATGGTGGTACTGGTGGCTGGTGGTGGTGGTGAGTACTGGTGGTGATGAGTGGTGCCAGTGGTGGTGGTGAGTACTGATGGTGATGGTGAGTACTGATGGTGATAGTCTGTACTGATGGTGATGGTGAGTACTGGTGGTGGTGGTGGTGAGTACTGATGGTGATGGTGAGTACTGGTGGTGATGGTGAGTACTGGTGGTGGTGGTGGTGAGTGCTGGTGGTGATAGTGGTACTGATGGTGATAATGAGTACTGGTGGTGATGGTGAGTACTGGTGGTAGTGGTGGTGAGTGCTGGTGGTGATAGTGAAGATGTTGATAATGATGGTTGTGATGAGGTTAGTGATGATGATGACGAGGAGGATGAAGGCCAGTATACAGCGGTGACGGTCAACTATGGTGGTTTCTAGTTTTATTTATTTTTACTTTGTATTTATTTATTTTTTATTTTTTTTATTTTTTTACGGGAATTAGCCCACCCAGGCACAGGTGAATGACCCACATCAGGGCCTGGGGGTGAATATGTAGTAGTAATAATAATAATAATAATAATAATAATAATAATAATAATAATAATAATAATAATAATAATAATAATAATAATAATAATAATAATAATAATAATAATAATAATAATAATAATAATAATAATAACAATAATAATAATAATAATAATAATAATAATAATAATAATAATAATATTAACTCCCTGTGGTTAAACTGATTCACGGGAATGAGTCTCCGACCTGACTTATCCTGACTGTCTTCTGGTGCGGGTGTGTTGTTTTATCTCGTTTGGGGTCGATACTGCTTCAGTTTGGGAGGGAGCGAACTTTTGTCCACGATAGTGCCTCCCTGGTTGGTCAATAGTGTTAGAGCAGCTATCTTTCTCTATATAGTTGATTCTACGTTAGGCTAGGTGAGGTTAGGCTGGCGACACACTGGGCACTTTCCTCCAATCATGTTGCCCGTTTTGCTGGCCGCTGGCCTGATGGCCCAGCAAGCAGCAGGATTTCGGCTGTTGCTAGAAATGGACAACGGTTTGGCGGGGATCTTTGCTGACCGTATTAGTGCTCAAATGAGCTTCATATAATTTTAAGTAAATATTTAGATAAATCATGAAACAATAATAATCAAAAATATAACATAAACGGTGACACATTTCTATTTATTTTTGTCACTTTAAAACTTTTTTAGTATTATTAAATAATTGTTCAGGGTCTTCTTTGACCAGCCATCCGCCTCCACTTTTAAAGAAACTTCGCCTCGCATCCATTTGTCTTATTTTTAGCTTTTGCAGACGCCTCACATGCTTCAGTAATTGAAGAACTATTGCACAATCCTGCAAGGCTCAACTGTAGTCACGGGATCCATGGTGAACCTCGTCTTGACACTTTGTTGTTGTTTTCGTTGAGTTGGGCAGACGGGCCAACAAAACATCCCAGTGTGACGCAAAACTTCTCTGTCTTGCTGGCCGGGCCGTGTCTGCCAATATGTTGGGAGGAAAGTGTCCAGTGTGCCGCCGCCTTTATAGTCGGGTTTTTAGTTGACGATACAAGCCCCGCCCCTCTAGCAAATGTTCGATTAATAACGATATATCTGAAATAACTCCATATACCTGTATAACTGCTGAGTGTAGAGATATAACTCCTTGAAAACGTTAACTTTCAGTGTATGAGCGGAAAGAACGTTTGAGATGAACATTTGCCGTCGAAGTCACAAACAAATTCACGTAATTACAAAACTGCCAAAACTGGAATCCACCAAAAATATCCACACCCAAATTATTATAAAGAAAATGATTAACACAAAATCAAAGAAAACAACAAAAGAATCCCCCCCCCAAAAAAAAAAATTTCCTCGGAAGACGTCAAAAAAAGTCTTGGAAATATTATAGTGTGGAGGAGTGTGAAGGACAAATCCCTGACGACTTTTAGGGCGAACTAATGCATTTTAGCAGATGGTGCCGAGTGTCACATGGCCGCTCCCAGACCGCGTGTTTACCTCCGGATTACTGACTGACTCGCTCACATCTCTCCACTCTCTCTCTTTCTTTCCGTCCTTCTCTCTCTCCCTCACCCCCCTCTCTCTCCTTCGTACTTACTCACTTTACCTTAACTAGATACGTTCATTAAGCACCAATTTAAAGATAAAATTAAAGTACCTGTCCAGAGTCTATCTAAATATTTCGTATGGTAATTTTATCTCCAAACTGGTGTTAAATGAACGTATCTAGTTAAGGATATGTTAGATTTAATCCCATTTGGTTTTATTTCATTTGGTGTAATTAGAAAAAATCATGAGTTCTATAAGAGTTAGTTAGACGAGAGTTAGGTAGGTGAGTTCACGGTTCGCGCTGTCAGAACTCATAGCTAGGCTGACCGATGCCTCCAAGTGAGTGGCGCGTTTTAGCAGATAAGATTGTTTATATTGCCACCTTCTCCCCCACCCCCCCCCGGTCCCCCGTCACTTAGACTTTATTTAATTTGGTAGTTGTGTGGTGAATTTGGTAGTTGTGTGGTGAATTTTGGTCAGTTGTAGTGGTAATTTGGTAGTTGTGTGGTGAATTTGGTAGTTGTGTGGTGAATTTGGTAGTTGTGTGGTGAATTTGGTCGTTGTGTGGTGAATTTGGTGGAATATTGGCGTAAGTTTTTTTTTTTTTGTGCGTGTGTGTGTTTTGAGTCAGGTGTATCCATGACAACAGTAGGAAGGAACTAATACTCAGCACCAAGTTCTACGTCATCACACGTCATATACGTAAACCAATCATGTACCTTTTCGTCATTAATACGTCATAAATATGTACCAATCATGTCCATTTACATAGTTACACGTCAAATACGTAAACCAATCATGTACCTTTTCGTCACCTACACGCCACACATCTTCACCAATCATACATTATTTACTTCACTACGTCACTCAGTAGATAAACAAATGAAGTTGGGTCAGGCAACGAAATGTATTTTACCTCCCTCTCTTCACCTTCCCTCCTTCCCTCCCTCCCTCCTCCTCTCTTCTCACCTTCCTCCCTCCTCCTCCCTTCACCTTCCTCCTCCTCCCTCCCTCCCTTCACCTTCCTCCTCCCCTCCCTCCATCCCTCTCTTCACCTTCCTCCTTCCCTTCCTTCCTCCCCACCCTCCCTCCCCTTCACCTTCCTCCCTCCTCCTCCCTCCCTTAACCGCCCTCCTTACATCCTTCACCCTCCCCTCCTCCTCTCACCCTCCCTCCTCCTCCCTCCCTTCTTTTACCTCCCTCCCTCCCTCCATCCCTCTCTTCACCTTCCCTCCTTCCTTCTCCACCTCCCTCCCTCCACTTCCTCCCCCCTCCCTCCCTCCTTAACCCCACCCTCCATACATCCTTCACCCTCCTCCCTCCTCTCCCACCTCCCTCCCCTACATCCCTCACCTCCCTCCCTACCCCACCCCCCTCGTCCCGATGGTCCAACAGGACAAGAAAAATCAACTGATAGCAAGTCCAGCGACTTTGGAAATCCCGAAGGAGAATAAATCCCCTCCCTTCTTCCTCCATATGTGTGTGTGTGTGTGGGTGTGTGGGTGTGTGTGTGTGGGTGTGTGTGTGGGTGTGGGTGTGGGTGTGTGTGTGTGTGGGTGTGGGCGTGTGTGTGTGTGGGGGGGGGTGTGTGTGGAAATGTGTGTATGTGTGGGTGTGTGTGTATGTGTGGGGTGTGTGTGTGTGTGTGTGTGTGGGTGTGGGTGTGGGTGTGTGTGTGTGTGGGTGTGGGTGTGTGTGTGTGTGTGGGGTGTGTGGTGTGTGTGTGTGGGGTGTGTGTGTGTGTGTGTGTGTGTGTGTGTGTGTGTGGGTGTGGGTGTGTGTGTGTGTGGGGGTGTGTGGGTGTGTGTGTGTGTGTGGGGGGTGTGGGTGTGTGTGTGCGTGGGTGTGTGTGTGTGTGTGTGTGTGGGGGGGGGGTGTGGGTGTGTGTGTGTGTAATAATAATAATAATAATAATTAACGGTTTATTGAAAGAGCTTGGCAGCCAGAAGGCTGAAAATATACAGTTACATATTTGGGGAATGGGTTACGAATTACAAATATAGTAAGTGTTACAAGAAGTATTAATACTTCGACAATAGATATTTTTTAAGAGATGATTTAAAGGAAGGGAGCGTAGTCTTTGCTGGGATGTGTGGGGGTAAGTTGTTCCATACCTTCACACCGTGATATTTTATGGAGGTCTGGGACTGAGAGGAGCGCATGGGGGGGGGTTGGTCTTAGTAGCTCTGGGTGCCTTAAGTTGTATCTCTGATTATTCCGGAACTCAAAGTAATTATTGTCAAGCAAGTGATTGATAGATTTGTAAACAAAGAGGGCACAGCAGTAGGTGTTAATATCCTCGAATTTTAACATTTTCAATTTAGCAAATTTTTCGCTTGTGTGATCTGTTTTTTTTTTTTTCAAGTAGGTCATTGTCCGTACAACTCTCTTTTGTGCAGTAATCAGGGATTGTGTTTTTGAAGAGCCAGAGGCCCCCCATAGTATGTGACAGTGTATCAGGTATTGGTAAACAAGATCATGATAGATTTCTTTCATTGCTGTGAGAGTGAGTGACTGTCGAATGTGATACATGATACCGCACTGTTTATTGACTTTACCTGAATGGCTTGTATGTGGTTTCTCCAGTTAAGTTTCTCATCAACAATAACTCCGAGGAATTTAGTATTTTGTTCGCGTTTGAGGACTGTATTACCAAGGTACAGGGGGTTTAAGTCTGGGGGTAAGTTTTTCCTTCTGTGAAAGATCGTGTAGTGGGTTTTCTCAAGGTTTAAGGTCAGATTATTATGTATTGCCCAGGTCCTAACTTTAGTCAATTAAGTGTTCATAGTTCTCATATAGGAATGGAGGTCTGAGTTGCTGGCATAGAGATTCCTATTGTCTGCAAATAAGTTGTATTTTATGAGTGCTGGCGTGGACTATGTCATTTATGTATAACAAAAACAGTACTGGACCGAGAATGGAACCTTGGGGGACGTCATACAAGATTGGTGAGGAGTTAAATTGGTGGTTATTGGAGCAGACATACTGCATCCTGCTGGACAGATAGGAGGTAAACCAATTGCGGGACAGGCCCCTAACGTCGTAATGTTCAAGCTTTGAAAGTAGGATGGTATGTATGTACAGGTATGTATGTATAGGTATGTATGTATGTATGTATGTATGTATGTATGTATGTATGTATGTATATGCCATGGCCGCCACAGTGTGTAATATTGGAAATTATTCATATTTCTTTACCTAACCTACCCAAACTTAACTTAACCTAACCTAACCATTCCACTTTACATCTCGACTTGGGTCAGTCAGGAGAGTTGAAGTTATTATTACGTCACTAAAACAGACCAATTAGAAGTATTTACGTCATTATTACGTCACTAAAATAAACCAATTAGAAGTATTTACGTCATTATTATGTCACTAAAATAAACCAATTAGAAGTATTTACGTCATTATTACGTCACTAAAATAAACCAATTAGAAGTATTTACGTCATTATTACGTCACTAAAACTACCAATTATGTTTCTCTTCGTCATGAACATGTCACTCATCCTCACCAATCATGTGCTCAGATTCCAAAAGTCCTCAAGAATATTGATTCCAAGATTCCAGGACTCTAGATTCCAAGATTCCAGGACTATATATTCCAAGATTTCAGGATTATAGATTCCAAGATTCTAGGACTATAGATTCCAAGATTCCAGGAATTTATATTCCAAAATTCCAGGACTATAGATTTCAAGACCATAAATTCCAAGATTCCAGGACTATAAATTTCAAGATTATAGATTCCAAAATTCCAGGAATAAATATTCCAAAATTCCATGACTATAGATTTCAAGACTAAATAAATTCCAAGATTCCAGGACTATAGATTCCAAGATTCTAGGACTATAGATTCCAAGATTCCAGGACTATAGATTCCTGGACTATAGATTTCAAGACTATAAATTCCAAGATTCCAGGACTATAGATTCCAAGATTTTAGGTCTATAGATTCCAAGACTATAGATTCCGGGACTATAGATTTCAAGACTATAGGTTCCAAGATTCTAGAACTATAGATTCCAAGATTCCAGGACTATAGATTTCAATTCTATAAATTCCAAGATTCCAGGACTATAGATTTCAAGACTATAAATTCCAAGATTCCAGGACTATAGATTCCAGGACTATAAATTCCAAGATTCCAGGACTATAGATCCCAAGAAACGATACCATTTCTTTTAAATCCAGGATTTCTGAAGAAAGTGATTTCAGCCTCAGGTTCTGACATTCCAATATTCCAAGAATCCGGCATTCCCGTGCTCCTGGAAATCCGAAAAATAATTATTATTGTAGGAGCTCGAGGCAGCATTCCAAGATTCCAGGAATATTGATGAAGTAAACTTTGTTATGTTGAAGAACTTAGGAACTCCCTCCTCTATGATCCTGTAGTACGCTGAGTGAGAGGTTGGTTGTGATGCAAGTTTTGTATTTTTCAAGATTCAGGAGTTAACAGACTAACGATAACCAGATAACACAGGATTTACAATTTCTAAAAATCCAAGACTCTAAACTTCCAAGATTCTAATATTCCCGGATTCTACTTTATCGAGATCCCAGTTTTGAAGATTCCACCATTCTAAGACTCTCTAGTGAGTGATGTCTGACGAAATCTACCCAAGGCAGTACCGTACACATCAGCCTACCACGAGAAGCACACCACACACCCCGTGACTCCCAAGCACACGACAACAGAGCCCGGGAGGAGGACCCCAGCAGTACCAGACCGGCAGGTAGCCCCCAGCACTGAGCCTGAGTGAGTCAGAGGGTGAAGTGATATACCTTAGTGGCAAGTGTATCTACGTCACGTTTAGGTCTGGCTAGTAAAGGTTAGGTTAGGTTAGGTTAGGTTAGGTTAGGTTAGACCATTTATTTTGTTACAATTTATAACTTAAAAATGTCGTCTATTTCTTGTAATGATTATTTTCTATTTACTTGTTAACTTGTTTATGTCATTTACATTTTCATTTACAAATTTGTCATCTGTTTACACTCCCTTCCTCTCCTCCTGTTTACATATCCATTTCATATTATGTAAGCGAGTTCCTTACTGCCATGAGCCGCTCTCCCGACGCGGCTGACTCACGGTACACAGCCACTGGTCGTTGTCCCTCGGTCTATGTTTTCTCGTCGTCTGTGTTTGTCATATTTATTTTATAATATTAAACCTTTTTTTCAAATAGTAAATTTTTTTTATTTATTATTATTATTTTTTTTTTTTTTGGGGGTATTGTCCTCCCTCCCTCCCTCCCTCCTCATTCCTCCCTTTCCCTTCCCTCTTCCGTTTCTTCCTCGCTCCCCCCTCCTCCCTCCCCCTCATTCCTCCCTTCCCTCCCTCCTCTGCTCTTCTTCCTGCCCTCCCTTCCTCCCTCCCTCTCTCCCTTCAGGCAAAATCTGTGAACACGACGAGGCTTTTAATTTGGGAGAGTGTCAGATGATGACTCTCACGGCTCTCTCTCTCTCACGTCTCTCTCTCTCTCGTCTCTACATGCAGTGCCCAGTGTTGTGACCTGTAACAACAACAACAACAACAATAATAATAATAATAATAATAATAATAATAATAATTATAATTATAATTATAATAATAATAATAATAATAATAATAATAATAATAATAATTATAATAATAATAATAATAATAAAGAGATATATAATAACAGATGAAATAGGTACTTGGCAGCTCACAGTATTGCTTTTCCCAGGATGGATGACGACAGTTTGTCCTTGTAATATCACCATTAGTGTCACATATGTTTTTCTAGGACGAACAACGACAGTTTGACCGATACTTTCCTTTGTTGTGGGAACATGAGTGTATTTTGTTCCCAGGAAGAGCGCCGACGACCAGTCTTACGTATATTGCATGATTCTCTTTATGTCTACTGTATAGTATCTTGTTTTTCCAGGACGTTTAGCGACTATAAGGGTGTAACTACTACAACAAGGGTGGTACTATAATACAGGCCACTACTACAACAAGGCACTACTACAACAAGGGTGCTACTACTAACAAGGGTGCCACTATTACAACAAGGGTGCCATTACTATAAACAAGGGTGCCACTACTACAACAAGGGTGGCACTACTACAACAAGGGTACTATTACTATAAGGGTGCCACTACAACAAGGGTGGCACTAATACAACAAGGGTGCCAATTACTAACAAGGGTGCCACAACTACAACAAGGGTGGCACTACTACAACAAGGCAACATAAACAAGGGTGCCACTACTAAACAAGGTGGCACTACTACACCAAGGGTGGCACTACTACAACAAGGGTGCACCCATACAACAAGGGTGGCACTACATAAACAAGGGTGCCATTACTACAACAAGGGTGGCACTACTACAACAAGGGTGGCACTACTACAACAAGGGTGGCACTACTACAACAAGGGTGGCACTACTACAACAAGGGTGGCACTACTACAACAAGTGTGCACTACTACAACAAGGGTGGCACTACTACAAACAAGGGTGAGACTACTACAACAAGGTGCCACTACTACAACAAGGGTGCCACTACTACAACAAGGGTGGCAATACTACAAACAAAAGTATTACTACAACAAGGTGCCAATTATCATAAACAAGGGAAGCACTACATACAACAAGGGCTACTAATACAAATACATTACTACAACAAGGGCACTACTACAACAAGGGTGGCACTACTACAACAAGGGAGCACTACCAAATAAGGGTGGCACTACTACAACAATAAAAAGCACTACTACAAATAAGGTGCTAACTACTACAAAAAAGGGTGCCACTACTACAACAAGGGTGCCACTACTACAACAAGGGTGCTACTACAACAAGCAACATTACAACAAGGGTACTACTACAACAAGGTGCCACTACTACAACAAGGGTAACTACTACAACATGGGTGCTACTTGCTACAAGGGTACACTACTACAAATAAGGGTGCCACTACTACAACAAGGGTGCCACTACTACAACAAGGGTGGCACTACTACAACAAGGGTGCCACTACTACAACAAGGGTGCCACTACTACAACAAGGGTGGCACTACTACAACAAGGGTGTCAACTACTGCAACAAGGGTGGCACCACTACCATTAAAACATTACAAGGGTGGCACTACTACAACAAGGGTGCTACTACTACAAGGGTGGCATAATTGACAACAAGGAAAGCACTACTACAACAAGGAAGCACTACTACAACAAGGGTGCCACTACTACAACAAGGGTGCCACTACTACACAAGGGTGCCACTACTACAACAAGGGTGCCACTACTAACAACAAGGGTGGCACTACTACAACAAGGGTGCCACTACAACAAGGGTGCCACACCATAAGGGTGGCACTACTACAACAAGGGTGCAACTACTACAACAAGGGTGCCACTACTACAACAAGCATACTACAACAAGGGTGCCACTACTACAACAAGGGTGCCACTACTACAACAAGGGAGCACTACTACAACAAGGGTGGCACTAACACAACCAACACAACAAAACAACAACACCAAAGCACTACTACAACAAGGGTGCACACACAAAGGTGCTACACATACAACAAGGGTGGCACTACTACAACAAGGGTGCACTACTACAACAAGGGTGGCACTACTAAACAAGGGTACTACAAGGAGAACAATGAGAAGGGTTGACCTCTTGTTCCTATTGATGGCAGAGACAAAACCTGTTCTGTTTTACCTTGATTACTGGTGAGGAGGGAGGGAGGGAGGGAGGAGGAGGAGGAGGGAGGAGGAGGAGGAGGGAGGGAGGAGGAGGGAGGGAGGAGGGAGGAGAGAGGGATGGAACTTACTGCACTAAAAACTCTTTTCTTCAACACCCTCCCTCCACTCCCCCAACACCCTCCCTCCACTCCCTCAACACCCTCCCTCCCTCCACCTCTTTCCAGACACTGGTCACTGTACACTGTACACTGTACTGTACAGTGTACAGTACAGTATATAATGGTGTACACTGGTCACTGTACAGTACAGTATATAATGGTGTACACTGGTCACTGTACAGTACAGTACACTGTGGTGACCTAACTCCTCAGGTCCACAGTGGTGACAGTCAGGCCACCAGCCACTGGGCCACGACGGCCTAGAACCTTACCATCCTCAGCTGACTGGCACCACAAGGTCCCACGGTCACCACTGTGGACCTGAGCAGTTAGGGCACCACAAGGTCCCACGGTCACCACTGTGGACCTGAGCAGTTAGGGCACCACAAGGTCCCACGGTCACCACTGTGGACCTGAGCAGTTAGGGCACCCAAGGTCCCACCGGTCACCACTGTGGACCTGAGCAGTGGGGCACAAGGTCCCCACGGTCACCACTGTGGACCTGGGCAGTTAGGGGCTCCTAAGGTCCCACGGTCACCACTGTGGACCTGAGCAGTTAGGGCTCCACAAGGTCCCACGGTCACCACTGTGGACCTGAGCAGTTAAGGGCACCACAGGGTCCCACGGTCACCACTGTGGACCTGAGCAGTTAGGGCACCACTGTGGACCTGAGCAGTTAGGGCTCCACAAGGTCCCACGGTCACCACTGTGGACCCTGAGCAGTTAGGGCACCATGAGGTCCCACGGTCACCCTGTGGACCCTGAGCAGTAAAGGGCACCACAAGGTCCCGGTCACCCTGTGGACCTGAGCAGTTAGGGCACCACAGGTCCCACGGTCACCACTGTGGACCTGAGCAGTTAGGGCTCCCAAGGTCCACGGTCACCACTGTGGACCTGAGCAGTTAGGGCACCAAGGTCCCACGGTCACCACTGTGGACCTGGGCAGTTAGGGCACCCAAGGTCCACGGTCACCACTGTGGACCTGAGCAGTTAAGGGCACCACAAGGTCCCACGGTCACCACTGTGGACCTGAGCAGTTAGGGCACCAAGGTCCCACGGTCACCACTGTGGACCTGAGCAGTTAGGGCACCACAAGGTCCCACGGTCACCACTGTGGACCTGAGCAGTTAGGGCTCCCAAGGTCCCACGGTCACCACTGTGGACCTGAGCAGTTAGGGCACCCAAGGTCCCACGGTCACCACTGTGGACCTGAGCAGTTAAGGGCACCACAAGGTCCCACGGTCACCACTGTGGTCCTGAGCAGTTAGGGCCACAGGTCCCACGGTCACCACTGTGGACCTGAGCAGTTAGGGCACCACAAGGTCCCACAGTCACCACTGTGGACCTGGCAGTTAGGGCACCACAAGGTCCCAGTCACCACTGTGGACCTGAGCAGTTAGGGTACCACAAGGTC